GCCAAACAATTAACATTTCATTAAAAATAAAGATAGAGAAAATATTTTTCTGTGTGTTTGGAGTTCTTCGAAGTTTTAATATGATCAACAATATATATATACATTTTTGATACATTTGATACTAAAAGCAGTATAGAGAATACTGTTATGTCCTACATTATTTTTAGAATAAGCCATGTAGAGACATTACTACGGGTAATTATTAATAATAACTACGTTTTTTGGTAAAAGTGATAAAAATTTCATAATAATTTATATTTATAAATAACTCTGTATAGCTGTTAGTATTCTTTACTCTGTTTTTTTTTTAAAAAATTACTATAGATTGTCTACGATACATTAAATAATAATTGAAAACAAGTAGTCTGGACATTCACTTAAGCGACAATGTAGAAGTAGATATTCCTCGGAGATTGTCAACATTCCCTTATTTCGGATTTTCGCAGCAGCATTTATACCCTATAGTTGTTAAAAGATACGCCCTTTTTCTGTAATACAACACATACACATAAAGCCAATTAATATTGCAACACAACCTTTATAATGACCCTCCTTGATAACGAATCATCAAATTTTGATATTACGTTTCTTTATATGAATACTAGTTTGCACTACTTAACGCGCAGGCTCAAATTACTTAGTTTTATCTTAAAGTTCTAAAAGATTTGGAAATATGTGTAGATTAAAAAACATCCTGTAGCATTCAAACAAATTAAAAGAAGTAACACAAACTGAGTTTCCTCCATTAATGATTGTCATGCCCCATTCAATGGTATGGCAGAAGAATTTATAACTACAGGAAATTAAATTGAAATAAATTGACTTAAATTTCTCCCTCTCAGTTGAATGAAAAGTAGATATTCAATGAATGAAATGAATAAAAAGTAGATATTCAATATATTTTTTATTCTTATTTTAGTCTTGTTTTATTTAATAATTAAATTTTTTACCTTAATCGCGTGAACGGTTTTAGAACATGATACATAAATGCATTTTACACGGTTTTAAACGCACGGCTGAATGGTTTTAAAACATAAATGCATTTTACAAATTTTATGCTTGTAAATAAAATACATATATATTTAGGTATATTTACATTATTTTTTTCTTTTGTACCTTAAGGAAAACTGAGGCTTAAATCTAATTTATAAGAGCGTTAATTGCCAAAAAAGTTCGGCTACCGTGTAAATACAGAAAAGAAGAAAAACATGTTATTTTTTTTAAAGTTTATTTTTGGTAAAATGATCTACAATATGGTAATTTTAGCACCGATTTTATTTTGAGATTAAGCTGCATTTTCATAAAAAAGCAATAAATATTTCAGCGTCGCATGAAAAAAAAATCGATCCCATTGCTGTTGATTCTTATGTAAAATAGCCTGCATTTGAATGTAATCCCTGCTCCCCCCCCCTACACCGTTTTGCGAATATGCTTTCTAATTTTTATCATTTATTTTGTACATCCGTATTATTCGTCAACCATTTTCACCAATGTCGAACCCGAGTTATTTTGGTATATTTCAAATTTATTTTAATATAGTAATTGATTATAAAAACTACAAAATATAAAGATAACTTACTGCAAAAAATTAGATATCAAAATTTAAAAAATTTCCATGTTTATTTTCATATTATACCAAAATATTCAAAGGGATAGTAAGTAAGTAACTATTTTTTTATAACTTATTTCCATGAATCTGAGTTGGACAAATGTCTTGAAAATTTGGATTAAAATTGTTTCAGGAATTCAAGATCTTAGTTTCTGGCAACTAGCAGTCGATGAAAGCGGTTGAAAGTCTTTTTTTGCTGCATATTATAACGCAAAGAGTGAGAACGCTAAGACACGAATAGTTCAAAAGCGTATTGAAATTATCACAAATTATAAAAGCTTTCAAATAAGGAAATAAATCCAGAAGTAATCTTTACTACCTGACACACAAAGAAGAACGTAAAAACTTTAAAGCTAATTTACTTATTCACTTAAATGTCATTTAGAATTTTTTTTCACTGAATTCTTGGAATAAGAAACATTTCTATAAATTGTATAAAAATGTTTCATATTCGAAGACGAAATGTTTCTTATTTTGTTTTAAAGAATTATAATTGCAGAAAAACGACAAGAGCAGTAAAAACCAGTCTAAAAAATTCTCGATCATCGTAAGTAAACAGAAGTAAAACGGTATTTTTTGACTCACAATATTATTCATGAAAGAAAATACTATAAGCCATTAAAATAATAAACAAGCTGTCAAAAAAATTTATATACTAGCGTATTTTATAAACTTACAAACTTCTTGGAAATGACATTTATTGATAAATATAGTTCAAAACAAAGCAATTTAGTTTAAACTTGAATTAAATCGCGTTGAATCTCGCATTAAACAGGCCTCATGAATAATTTAGTATTTATTCAAAATAAGAAGATAAAGATAACTAAGTTGAGTGATGTTCAGCTATTAATTTCAAGCTGGTTTGGAAACCGGAGAACAACGGGATTAGTGAATTTGAATATTTACATAAATAATGATTAATAGGCGACTTTTCCTTAAGTCTTCTAAAGGCTTCTTCCTTTTATCAAATGTCTATTGTTTCCATTTTCACACTGTTTTGAATAAAGTGTGATAACTAGATTTATATAATAACATGATTTGGAGAATGCTTGTAGATATTACAAATATCAATATTTTATTTAATTTCATTAGAGAATATCTCCAATTGTTTATTGCAACCATGCGCTTTAATATAATTTCCTAAGAAATTGAACAAAAAAAATTTAGGAAATAATTAATAAAAATAATGATGCATTTGCTGCATTATCTTGTAAGTTTAATTTTAATTTTAAATATTGGTAACAAAATAACATAAGTTTAAATAACTTTTAAAAGATTTAACTTATTGATAATGATTAAAGATTTATTAAATAAAGTGTCAATTATTATAGCCAATGTGTATTAAGAGAAATCGTCCAATAGCCATCATCTACATTCCATAGTAGTCAAAATTGTAATGAAAAGTATGAAATAATAAAAGTATTTTACGAACATAATGGAATGTTTTTGTACAATTTTGATGAAGATAACAATTTTAGAAATAGGTTGTTTTTTTAAAATGTCGCAAATCAAAATTTGGAGTACAAAATCTACTACTTTATTCTTGTAATACATTACTTTTTGCAATGCTCGATTTTAAAACGAATAATAAAAATTATAGGTGAGCACTGTTAGTTTTTGATTTGGAAATGGTTACTAGTCTCTAGTATTAACTCTTTATTAGCGACATAAAACCTTAATTTTTTTATAAATTAACTTTAGTTCCCTTTTTTGTAGCACTTGATACCATCAATTTACAGAAGAGCGTTTATAAAATACTGCTTATTCACAAATGCGTACTTAACTAAATAAATAAATAAAAATTAAACAAGGGGTTCCATGCTCTCACTGCTATCAAAAACACATTTTAGCTTGCATTTAATAATCTCTTGATTGAGATTTAATTAACTGATCTGATTTTTCTTATGCAGAATGATATTATTTCAGAAAAGCATTTTATATTCAAATCTTTTTTTATACGAAAGTGTTAGCACGTTCACATGTCCGGAGGATACGGGGAAAATGGTCTTATGCATTTTAAGCCAATTTATTCTTATACCTATGTAAAAGCCAATACGAATACCGTTAGTGTTTTCTATGACTTAAATTTTTGTTTTTGAAATACTTTTATTATTTTTTTTTAAAATTTGATTTTTTATGATAAGGCGAAATGAGCAGTAATCTTAGCTCTACTATGTCACAGTAGGAATCACTAACTGCCATGGACAAGGATGCTCACCCTCGGAGAGTATGGATTAAGAAACATTCAGATACTCGCCAACACACAAGAAAAACAAAAAACGCTACGTTTTAAATATGTAGCCTAAATATGATTAGTATGGTAATATTTTTTGCAGAGTAGTTTAATTCAGATAAGATTGTCTTTAAAAAGACACATTCCTGAAAATCACCCTAAATAGCTTTTGATCTAATGATCGGATTTTCACTTTCCTGAACTCAATCCTAATGGTTCGCCGGGCTGCTCTCAAATATTCTAATAAGTTAGAGCAGACAAAATATTAAATTATGCAAACAGACACAGAAACTTACTTTTTCGGAATAAACATACAGTTTTTCAATGGATTCAGATTTTTGACTCCAAAATATAGGGATACAGACACAATATGGTTTTTATTAATTTTTATTATATATATGTTTTAAAATTCTGATTTAAAATTCAAATACTTATTTTTAAGCTACAAAAGCTGTACAAATCAAGTCAGTTTACTCACGATTTGTAAATATTTTATAACTTTTCTTATTAAAAATTTAGCAAACTTAATGGCAGTCATTTTATCTATTACTTCTTTATGTACACATGTAGTGCACTACACATTTTATAGATAGATGTATTGAATGTATAAGTCAAAGTTTAATACTTAATTTTACTTACTTAATTTTACTTTAATTTTACTTTCAAGAATTGAAAAATTCTTAGTCAATATCTGTAATTGTAAATTAAACTTGGTGACAAAAAAATAAAAATCTAACAATTGAGGAAACAATGTAAATAAAAATTACGATGCAAATCCATTAGCAACTTTGAAAATGAACACCGAAAGTTAAGGAAGATTCTCTTTGAGATGAAACCTAACACAGAGAAGAGTGTTGAACCATTATTGCTGCCAAGCCATAGTACTACTAAAATTTGCTAATGTTAATATGTACAATGTTTCCATTAAAATAAACTACATTACGAGACAATTATAAGTGAAAAATCAGTATTTTAACTTTCATAATAATTTATAAAATTATAAATTATTTGTGGACTTCTTTTGTCGTTTACTTGAATCGAGGTAATGAAAAACACAATGAAATAGCTTTATATTTAAATGCGGAATGTTACTTTCTATGATGATTTATATTTACAGGTTCATTCACTGTTCAAATAAATTAAATATCGAAATCTTACTTCATCAATATCTTCGCAAAAAGTGCCGTTTCCGGAAAAACCTTGAGGGCAAGGTCCACAAATATAACCTGGAGAAGTGTCGATGTTCACACACTGTACACCCTGCCAACATGGATTTTCTGAGCAGCGATTCGCTGGCTTGCAGCTCACGCCATCACCAGTATAGCCAGGTGGACATGGTCCACATCGATATCCAGTTTCCATGTCATAACAGGCTACACCTATTAAAATAAATAAAATTTATAAATATATGTAAATGCATAGTAAAATTGCAAATTGAGTGCAAAAATGCCCGTCTGATGTATATGTCTTTGTATATTTAGTATATTTGTGAACATTAATATTATAAATATTTCATAAATGACATGAATTTATATTCTGGGTGTTCTATAATTTAACCAACAAATCCAGATTGATGGTAAAAGCTTTCAAGATAAAATCTCATCGCAGAATATAGTGTCCCAAACCACGATTTTCGAATACCACTTTATTATTTAGAGATTTGAATGTTTAAGATTGAATGAGAGATTGATGAAAGATTGAATGAGAAGAATATTTATACTGATAGATTTCTTTCAAAAAAGTATGTGAGGGGGAGCAAATGCATATTAAAATATCGACAATTGTTTCATTTCCAACGGCAATTTTGTAATTTACATTCTAAGCCAATTTTTTTATTTCCTTTTCTGTGGATCAGGTTTTCTAAATCCCGGGGTGCTGGAAGTATAGAAAGCCATTTTTCATATCTATGGGATACGTATATTTATTGGTATTAATTTTTCAAGCTTCAGAAATTTTTTTTGATAAAACAGAGTTTCAAAGATAGCTACACTAATTTGTTGTTATTTTGTTACTGAATGCCTACAAATAAAAAGTTGCAATTGAAATATACTTAGCCAGAACGAAGTTCGGCTAAGTATATTTATATATCTATAGGTATTTTTCATATAGGTATTTTTCATATAGGTATTTTTCATAAGAATATCTATAGGTATTTTTCATATAGTTGTTAAAATTCACACTTAACCTTGAAGAGGTACAACTTGTGCTGCTTCAATTTTCTTAAATACGCATTTTGATCTGTGCTCAGTTTTTTAAATGCACATTTCGGTTAATGCCTAATTCCCCAAACGTGCTTTTTGAGCTATTTATAACTCACCAACAAACAGCTCAATAGATTTCATTAAGTTTTTCTTAGACTTTCATTAAAAATTGTAGAAATAAAGAACATAAAAGTCAATTCATTAAGTAGTACAGTTTATAAAGAAATGACTTTAATTCTGCCCAAATAATTTTTGTAATTAACTTCAGAAAAATGTTGCAATGATCTTAGCAACCTATTTCTTGATTAAACTTTCAAGACTAGATTTACCAAAGTGGAGCAATTGACCTCTAAGGTCAAAAATCCAAATCCGTTTATAAATAAATTTTAGTTTATCAAGAAAAATTAAATTTTAGATCTCATTTTGTAACTTTATTACCAACACTAAATAATTAGCATAAGTTAAATTGATGAATTTTTACTTTAAAATTCTATATTACGTTCAAAATTTATTCAGATAATAGCATTTTTTCATTTGAGCAATGAATATATTACTATGAATTGGATAAAAAATAGAGATCTATTGTTTAGTCTGATTGCAAAAGAGTTAACAATTCAATAATAATAAGAAATATTGTTTAATGTTTATTTATCACTTTCGTAAGAGTAATATATAGATTCCTGAAATATACTTTCTTAAGCTTCTCAAAAGATAGATGTTAGTAAAAGAACTTATTTTCTTTATTCACACACCTTTATGTGTTTTTTACGTATTCTTCAGAATGAAAGAACTCCCGAAAAGAAAGTTTCCTGCAAAAGTATGAGAATCGGGAAACGGATACTCAGTTTCTTTTTTTTCCATCTTTTTATAATATTTCCTTTATTTTCTTTCGCAAACAGCGCTTGGAAGTAATAATAGTGTTCGCTATAATGCCAAAAAAACTAAATAGGAACAGTTTCACGTAAATAATATTGCAAAAGCTTTTAGAAGTAACAAATCTCCGTTTTTCTTCCAATTCTTTTTATGGAGCTTCCTTTTCGCACTAAGCTAAATCTTGCGAGTTATTTTTCTTTTTTATATTTGATTAAATTGTTCAACGAATCAGAACTCAATGAAAAATAGAGTTTAATACATAACCATGCGCTAAATATTTCATAATAAAATATTGTCTCCAAAATACAGTTTATATATTTCAAAAATATATGTAAGTTCAGAATAGTATATAGTTTAGTTTCATGCGTATATAGTACATGTGTACATGCATGAAAATATTTATGCTATGACACACCAAAAGCCGACCAGCCTGTGTAGGGGTCAGGGAACTGGCCTTGCATCAGAAAGGTTCTGGGTTCGAATCCCGGGCAAGGCATGGATGTTCCTTCATTCTCTGTATCTGTCCTTACTGTGGGAGTAACGTTGGCCCACCTAATATGGTGCCCCTGAAAGAGTGGTCAACAAATCCGCCCTTCAGATGCCTGAATCTGCCCTTCAGATTTTTCGAAGTACCTTTCCTCATCATCAAACAGAACAAAAACAAGACTAAACGAACAAAGTCTAAACAAGACATTGCTATAGTTTTTCTTGGCAGAATATTTACATATAAATCTTTACACTGTGGTAAGTGACATTTTTTTATGAAAAATTATGAATTGAAAACTTTTAATTTTTTAAAAAGTTATCATTTTTGAGCGAAAATTCAACTGAAAAAGTGCGTATTCCAGTTTACGCTATAACATTATCACAGTATATAACTGATATAATCTGAAATATCCCCAAAACATTTCAAAGCGATAAAATATTTATCGATGATAACTCAGAAAAGATACACCGAAAAAGGTAAGTTTTAGTATTATTGATACATGCCCCACCTATTACCCCCAAGAATATTATTTACAATTAGATTACAAAAGTTTAATGACACAAGTCGGATACAATTGCGCTGCGATAAACTCACAAGAAACTTTAAATTCTGTATCCAAAGTAAAGCAATCAAACCTGGCAAAAAGTTTACCTGTCAGATTGTTTGTTCCGTAACATATTCCGGTAAAAATAGGTTTTACAGTAAAAGGTATTAGCAGCCTAAGTGAAGGGGTGTCGGGATTGGAGGTCACTGAAAAGATTTTTACTGATCTGTTAATATTGTCTGACCATTCGGTATATTTCTAACATTTCATATTTTCCTCTTTATTTATTATTTAAAAAAAGTAAAAGAAATTTTTGTACGTTTATTTAGCTTTTTTAAACAGCGATGACAAAAAGTATGATTAAGTATAGTTTTAGGTATCCATTTCACAATTTCGTCTTAAATAAATCTAATCCCCTCATTGCTATTGTCAATCACTCGTCTTCGTACTCGTATTTACAAATTCATACAAGCCAGTTTCATCCGAAATGGAAATAAATAAATTAGCTTATAATAACAGATTTTTGGATCAACCATCAAAGAAATTAGTAAACACAGTATTGTTCAAATTGTGAACATTTCATGAATGCATAAAACATTAGTTAGTTTTATTCGATCCGAGAGCAAAATTACAGAACATAAAATATTCAATACTTTATCGAACTAAGATGAACTACTTTTCTCCTCCTACTATTGAATTTATTTACCTTTATCTAAAACATGAGTGGCACTTGCGATTTTCCGAATTATTGTTGTGACCCTCGAATTGCAAAAGGTTGAAGACCCTTAGAATAAAGTTAAAAAATATGCACTATTTGTTGATTTTATACTATAACAATCGTACTTAATTTCTAAACTGCAATCATATTTTTTTATCACCTCATCATTGATTATCAGGTAGTTTTTAGGTAGTAAATAGGTGCTTATTAGTTTTTCAATATGCATTTATTTAAAGACAAACCTGCACCTATTTTTTCATAATGTCAAACTGTTATTATTATTTTTTTTCTGTCGTGTCTATGACATAGCCGAATCAAATGTTTTCATACGTCTTGATTACTGCTTCTGCGATTTGCTTGATATTATCGTCATAAAGGTCTATCAATGACGCCAAGACTCATATTTCTCTCAGATTAGCACTCACTGCTGGACACTCAAAGATGTGGCATGGTGTCAGCTGCGTATCTGGGGAGTTTTCACAATTCCTATACACTTTCCTGCCCTCTCTGTCTATCTTCATGCCTCTGTGGTGATTGGTTCTCAGCCTGGCTATAGTTTTTGTTGTGGATCTATCTACATTTATATTACAAATCATGTGCTTCGTTGGAATTGGTTTTTCTCTTAGTTTAGATTATCGATTGCATTTGCATCTTGGATGGAGACATTCCAGTCATTAAGGTTGAGATTTCTGGCATCTTTGGCTAATTTATCTGCATTTTCATTGCCTGCAATGTCATCTTGTGCTGGTATCCACTGAAGAGTACAGGCTCTGTTTAAGTCCTGAAGATCATAAAGATTTGAAATGATTTCTTAGGTGATAGAAGGTTATTATCATTAAACCTATTTCTACCGACTGTAGACGATACAAATAAGAAACGAACTTTTATCCTGATCTTCAATCTTTATTTGGTGAATCTATACATCACAAACTTTTAAAATTTATCAAGATCATAGGAAGGACTTTATTATCTGCTTTAAGAATACAGCATAGTTTGACCTAGAGACCAGTTTTTAACCTAGCTTCAGGCTCTTTTACATACTTAAACAATACGGCATAATACAATAAATTTGAGTAGTTTTTTTATGTTCAAGTATTCTAGTCCTTTCGATATAGAAATTTACTTTACTAAAAATGAATGTGTTTCTCTGTATTTTCAGACCTGAAAAGGAATTCGATATTACAGAAACTTCTTAAGTATCGAAAAATTGCTATGAAATATCCTTTCGAAACTTTTATTAAATTCTTGCTGATCTGAAACACATTTTTAAAAAAGTTAAAAATGCGTATATATATATATATTTGAAAGTTTATTTAACAGTTTTTTTTTCTTTCAAACTTATGTTCGTAAGAAATATAATGCTCGAGGTGCTGAGATCTATAAACTAAATTTCATTTTTTTTAAAGAAAGAACACGAAAAAGAGTAAATATTTTAGAGCTTTTAGGTCTTAAAGGTATTTTTTGTAAAACCTTTTTTATCTTATGTTCTAAAATAAAAGAAATTCAACTTAAAGTCTTTTTTTTCAATTCTGTATTAATCCCTAAAATGCATTTTTATTCGATGAAGTTAAAATATTTACCAGATATTCGATACCATTGTTTTGGTCCATTGTTTTTCTAATAATCTCCTATGTCTACATAATAAAGACATTGTCTATACAATAAAGATATATAATAAAGACGTTGTAAAGGCAGATTCCACCCGAGGTGGTATAATCTGAAATTAAAATTTGCATGAGTTTCTTATGAATATTAATAAAATTATTTTTATAGTTCAAATTTAGTACTAAGATAATTTGGTTACTGGTTACTACAGATTTATAAAATACTTTTTTGACAAATATCTATTAATTTTATACGTCAAGCGCATAATAAAATTATATCTCTATAGTAAAGCACATTCATTACTATATTTTATGCGCCATTTTGTCAAAACAAAAAAAATGCATAGTTACATTGTTTATCATACTGTTTTAATTATGATATACTCAAAGTAAGTAATGAAACATGAATCTCTCAAGATATATTTGAAGCAACTAATATGCATAAGATAAGTTTCCAGATTTAAAATTATCTTTTTTTAATTTTCTATTTTAAATTTTAGTAACTTATACTTTTTATACATTATACAGCCATTTATATTTACCTATTTTTCAGTTATAAATTCGTACTACAACTATACTAAATGTAATCAAAATTTAAATTTTTCAGAAACATTTCTGCCATTCGATTTCAAAAAACGCGTCAGTATATTTTATTCTAATTCTTTTATTTCAAAAGACTATTTTCAAAAAGTAAAAATAAATAATAAATAAATTATTAAACTTCAATGAACTAAGAAATTTTAATTTAGTTTAGACCCTAATGAATGCTGAATTTTAATGAAGTGAAGCCAAATGCGTCAGTTTGATAACTTAATAGTTTAAGTTTCGTAATTTGGTCAGAGTTTCGAACTCAAGCTTTTCCAGAAACTAAATCTGACATAAATTCCAAAAAAAAACCCCAGATAATTACGACAGATTCTTAGGTTATTTTTAGGTAGGGTCGTAGAATCCTTAATTATTTAATAGTGAAAAATAATGAGAAGATTCAATTATGATATCAAAGCAAAAAGTATCTGTGATACTGGACATTTTGTGTAAGTAAATCAAACAGATGATTATGATACAAGCTCTTACCTTGATAGCATGGTCGGTCATTGCAAGTAGTTACTTTTTCACATCGCACTCCATCACCAGAATATCCTCTAGGACATGATCCACAACGGAATCCGTCAGCAGAATCAGCACACTGTACACCGGGATAGCATGGATTATCACGGCAATGTTTGTGTACTGCAACAAAAGGAAATACACATTACATATGAAATCAGTAAAAAATATAGTTTCTATTGGAAACTTGATTATTCAGGGGGGTTTTAATGGCAAGGATACAGATTTAGTTTTAATTTAATATCAGTTTTAAGTAGAAAATATCACTTAAAAGCGATGAGCGTAGTTAGTTATCTTATCAATAAATTAAAACAGAAATTTTTGAAGTAAATAAAGCATTGAACATTAAATGTGATTTGCATAGTTGCTTTTTAGACTTGAAAGACGATTGGGCCCATTTTGGATCATTTGGTTTCTTATTTCTTTATAATTAAAAAAAAACTTACTGAAAGTATTGAGTATTTCTTTTTATAACTTGATCCAATTCTAGTACCTATTTAATTATGCGTTAGCCTTAATAACGTATTTATAGGACCTTATATTTAGAATGACTAAGATATTGTGTTGTGTACTCCATAGCCCCAAGTCGGTTTATGTATAAGGTAACTTTTAGAAGGTTTAAGGTACAACCAGCATTATTAAAAGAAACAAGATTATTTCAACATATCTGCATAGGCATACATCGTTATTCAGTCTTTCTATTGCTAATAAATGCATAATTGTCATTTTTTTTCCAGAAAATTTATGCAAAAATATTTTCTGAATTGAGATTAATTCATTAAAAGAACATTTATCTTATTACCTAAAATGTATTTGGCTTTTAATTCTATTTTTTGGGGCGAAGGTAGATGATATTTTCATAATTTTTCCTTAATTGAAAAATTTGGCCAAACATTTGAATTTATATACTTATAAATAAACCGATATGTAAGTTCTGAGTTTATAACTACAAATAAATTTAATCTAAAAAGATAGAATGAAAGAATATATAGAACGCGAAAGGGAAAGTGACTCCTCGTTGTTGGCCTTTTTTTCTTTACCACACAATAACCATTAGTCTTACACATATAACTAATGTAAATAAAGCACTTTATTATAATTATTACTTGTAACTGAAGTCATCAGTAGATTACGGCAAAATAATTGGTGGCTTCTCCTCGACATTTTAAAATCATTCTGGTGGGAAGTACACTTCCCATGGCTTTTAAAGGGTTAAATTAAGAATATTTTTCCCTTTAAAATCCATCCCTTTTTGTGATGTAAAGAAATGAATTCGAAACAATGATTTTTTATTGTGTGCAAAACTTTAAAGCAAACTCAAACACAATTTTCACCAAACACAACTTTTAACATGTAGGCCTCATTCTTATAACATCATATAAAGTCGTAGAAAGAAAATAAAAAAAATGAAAAATAATTTGTATTTATTGTGTGTCTCGGCATTTGTTAACAGTACCAAAGCACTAGAATTTCATTTTGCTATTTTCGATGTTATGGTATTACTTTATTCCAGCAATATGAAAAAAATCATTTTTTTAAAGTCTCATTCTCTCGAAAATCTGAAAATTTAATCTCCTGCTTACGATGCATAAAATTTACTTATCGTCTTAAAAATAGTTAAATAAAAAAAATTTGATTCACTTTTTACTTTTTCAGAAATATTCCTTCATTGTAATTAGCTTAAAAAATTGAGTTTTCTTTAAAATATATGACAGCACTTGAGTTATTTTTTCTTGTAGGATACAGTAAGAATAATAACTTTAGATACCTTTTTTTCAGTTTATTTCCTAGCAAACAGAATTTGACAAATGGGAGAGTATGACAAAGGTCAATAGCTACTAGTACGACAGAAATGATAGATGGAGTTATGTTGACGGATTATTTGTCACCAAAATCTCAAGACATCTCCGAGGATCAATTTTAATCTTTTGGCTCATCTTATACTCTGTTAACTCGAGACAACTTGTATATTGCTGATGGTTTCTTATAAATTGAAGAAATTGTAGGTAAATAGGTCCCATATAACAGTGGAATTAGTAAATTAGTAAAAAATAATAAGGATTTAAAATCTAACAGTTACTTAAAATAAACAAGCTCTTTATCAATATAAAGTATTCTTGCATGCATTCTTAAAGCGTTAATTTGAAATTTGAAATATCTTTAATTTATAAATATGTTTCAATTGTAACATTCATAAAGAATTTTAGATCTTACTATGGATTGGAATAAAAGATCTAGCGTTTAAAATACCATCTATTATACTTGGAAATAATAATAATTTATTTTATAAGGAGCGTATTAAGTTTGGAAGATTACAATAGCATAATATAATATTATATAATTATAAAAAATACATTTTTCACAATCGACTTATACAATTATATATCGTGTTACATTTCAGCTTTTAAACAAAAAAAAATTTTTTTGAAAAATAACTAAAGCTTATTAAATAATTGTTTTTAAAAACACATTTGAAAATATTATGTTCAACAACTTATGTTCGAATCTTCAAAAACTGAAATCAATAACTTCTCATAATACACGTTTGGGATTTTTTTTCGTTTCGATTCAATTTTGGTACCAAAATATATAAATTTCATTTTTCGTTAAAAGAATAAAGCTGGTTCTTGAATTTATTGTGAAGATATATCTTAAAAGACGATATTTAATAAAAAATTCCTATAAATGACAAACCGTTAAACCAATTTTGTCAAAACTAAATCACTCGTTAGCTTAACTTTCAAAGGCTTATGTTTATTTCCCATTAATATTTTACTAAACATTCCTTTTCAAGCATCAACGCAGAAACTACTTAATCCCAATCACGCTTCAAATATCTTAAATAAAAGGTTATATTTATGAAGGAACAGAGCTGCTAACTTTTAAATATTCAACCAAGAGAATATTTCACCACAGTTAAACTTCCCTGTTAGAAGTATCACCGGCTTTTGGAAACCCTATTAAAGCTTGTTCACAAAGCAGGAATTATACGAAGATCTTCCATGCGAAGATGCGCAAAAGCACTTTTGGAATCTTGATTCCCAGTAAAGCTGGCCAGACCGGGATGTATATGAGTGGGCATTAGGGTCCCTGGACCTTAATGGGGAAGTTTAATTGGGACTTGGGAAAGTTTTCGCGCAAACGTGCTCCCTCCCAAACCGCATGGGAAATTTCGTGAACAGAATGGATAAAGTCTGTCTTCTAATAGGTGGGCTGTAATTGCTATATTTATGAATCGTTTGCTGATAAGAAAACGTGTTCATTGTAGGGCTATCAAATTAGGAGTTATGAAGCGATGTCTTAATTTGAGATAGTCGATCGTGATCGTTCATTAAATCATTTAATTAAGTTAATTAGACGTATTGTTAGTCTTGCTTTCCTCACAAGTTAATTAGAAAAATAATTAACAAAATATGATACATAGTTTCGAACCGAAGAATGGGGTCAAACTGGACTATGTCACGAAATCAATCTAAACGTTTTCATGCACATTTCAAAATTATTTTAAACTTTTTTTCCTATTGTATTTTTTAATAAGTCATTTTATTTTTTCCTACACAAATTATGAGGACTTGATATAATTGTTAAGTTTAACTGTATTTATCTATCCCTTAATGTTATTTTTATATTTCATACCAGCGTTAAACAGCCGATCAAATTTTGAATTTGCTATGTGAAACTCAGTAGCCTTGTTATTTTGAACCCAATCCAGAAGACAAGGAAACTTCTGGATCACGCATTGGAACAAACTAGTGTTCGTGGAGGACTTTTTGATGGAAACCCGCACTTGCATTACATGAAGAGGAAAATCACAAAAATCTCCCATAATTAGCTCGACGGGAAGGGGACTCTAACCCATGATCCGTCTACCACTGAAGATATTTTATATCAGCACTGTAGTCGATGTGAACCGGCAGCAGGATTCGTATCAACCAGCCACAGCTGATATTTGAAACTAGCCAACCTCAAAGGGAGACAAACGCTCCATCCCATGAGCAGTTGCTGTTTGCTATACATTAATAAACGTGAACTGCATTGTTCAGATAAAGAAATTATTAAATGCTGTTCCAACTAAATTTGAAATAAAAGAGGAAATATTATCAGTGCCCTCAAGGTTGTGGAACCTGTGCTGACCTAGATCCGGCAAACTTTTTGATACACACAAAATATGAGAGCTACTTATTAATCATATCGATGACTTCATTAATTAGACCTATTCTTAAAGCTTAATGATAAGTTTTTTTAAGATGGACTTTATAGAAATGTTAGGAAAAAAAATCGAAAAAATAAAAGAATAAATCTTCAGGTTTTTTTCCGACCATTTGTAAGATGTAAATTTGTAGATACTTATCACGAGATAGGAAAGCTAAGGAATTATAGAATGATAAGACACACTTTCTTTTTAAAGGAGACTCTTTTGCATTGAACTGGTCCTTGAGATTGTTGCAATATAAACGATTTCCATGCTTAACGGATATTTATTAAACATGAGAACAGACAGAAACATTTCTATGTCAGCATGGAAATCGTGGTATAATTCTATAAAACCACTCGTCTAAAAAAACTCTCCCAAAATAATTAAAGAATGTAAATTATCAATAAGCTCTTCTAAATAAATACACAGAGGTTATGCGAAAAACAGTCATCAATGTCAGAAGTGGTCAAAACTATTAAAGAAAAGTTGCGAGAATCATACCGTAAATAGTTAAAAGGCAACAAGATCAATCGTATAACAGACCATTTAATAAAATCAATTTTAATATATGAGAATTTCAAAGTATGAAATTATTATTTATTAATTTCATAACTAAAATTTTATATATTGTAATGACGTTAAAAAGTGACAAATAATATAAGTAGTTAGATAAAAGACAGTGGAGTTCGGCATTCAGGGAATATTTGAAAATATATTTTTTAGGCACGAAGTGAAAGATTTAAAAAGTTAACTTTTGTTAATAGGTGTAGATCACTACATTCTCGAGATCTTCCTTATTTTTAAAGATAAGCCATGGGATTTATGCTGTCTGAACTGTAGACTAGATTTCTGTTTCTTACATAAACAATAAACACAATAAGGTTGTCTAAACAGTTCGTGAAACAGTAAAATACGTAAAAAGTAAAAT